CACCTCCTTGGGCAGCCCATTCCATTAACTAATCACCCTTTCTATGAAGAAATTCCTTCTCATGTCCAAACCTTCCCTAGTGCAATTTAAGATTATGCTCTCTCATCCTGTTGCTAGTTTCCTGGGAGAAGAGGATGATCCCATCTGGTTACAACCTCCTTTCAGGTAGTTGTGGAGAGTGATAAGGTCCCCTCTGAGCCTCCTTTTTTCTAGGCTAAACAACCCCAGCTCCCTCAGCTGCTCTTCCACAGACTTGTGCTCCAGACCCTTCACCAGCTTCATTGCCCTTCTCTGGACTTATTCCAGCACCTCAATGTCCCTCCTGAATTGAGGAGCCCATCTAAGTTATAAATTACAGAAAATTAACAATGCGGCATTTTAAGGGATGTGAAGATTTTGATATCATCCAAGATTTGTCTCCTGGAAGACAACCAGAATAAACTGTTTTGCACTGTCATCCACACAATTTGAATGGAAAAACACCACAAATGAAACCCTTTTTCCTTAAGCCAAGGGAAAAGTGGCAGAATCAGTGAGGTGGAAAGGGACCTCAGGCAGTTTCTATTGCAACCTCCTGATAAAACCAGGACCACCTAGGAACTCAGAGCAACTTCCTCAGGTCTTTGTTCAGTTGCAACTTGAAAACCTCTGAGGACAGAAATTTCACAGGCTCACATTCAGCCTGTTGTCTGTCAAGGCCCCCAGGGTCTTTTCAGCAAAGCTAATTCCCAGCTGGTCTGTCAGCCCCAGTCTGTATTGTGGAGGATACTACCTTTCCAGTGAAACACTGGATTTGTACCTCTTAAATTTCATGAAGTACCTCTTGGCATATACATTCCTACAGCCTTTTATGGATTGAGTTCACCCAATTTATCTTCATTCACTACTGCTCAGTTTCCCCCCTTTCACTAAGCACAAGGAACTGAAGCAATAAAAGCATTAAATACCTCAACAACATCTACATTTGCTGTCATTCATTCCATTCATCAACAATCCCATGTTTTCTTTGTTCAGCCTTTTATTATCAATGCAGGGCTAGCAGCTCTTCTTCTTGCCCTTGATATCTCTTGTAAATGTCAATTTACACTCTCCAGAACACTTCTTGAATGCATACTGATGTGTTGTCTTTTCAGCAGGTGGAAGCTAAAGGCCCTTATGACACAGAGAATTCCTCAAGTTGTTTAGAGAAGACATCATTCTCTCCCTGATCAGATGGTTAGTGAAAAACTCCCACTGCGACACCACCCTTACTGGTCTCTTCTCTGCTCCTCACCCATATGCCCTCAGCCATCCTTACAAGTCAAGGTAAGCTATGTTTGTCCCAGAACTTTACTAGCAAAGCTGAAGTCACCCTGGAATTCCCCTGTTTCTGACGATAAAATTGGTTCACCCAGTATTTTCTCAAAGTGATGGATATTTACAGTACATTAGAAGAACCAAAATATTATGGACTGGAAACATGCAGAGAAGGCAGTTACCTAAAATAGTTTCATTCAAGCCTTTACCCATTCTTAGTTTAGTCTCTGTGCCTTGTCAATACAGCCAGTCTTCTCTTAAAAAAACTTTATATCCAAAACATCAAGATTCAGAACTTAAGACAGTTTATTTCAGACGCTTTATTTTTAGTGCAGGGCTTGTTTTTAAATTAATTTGTGTCTACATACTGTGTTTTAGTAAGAAGATACTTTAAAAAAGCATATCTGAGCTTATTTGAAGAAGCAACACTCACAGATGTCATTTACAGACATAAACTAGTCTTTCCTTATAGCTTAAATAGGTTGAAAGAATGACCAATGTACTAAAATACAGGTGATTAAAAAACAAACAACAAAACAAACAAAACCACAAACCACCACAAATCTCAAAACTTCTTGAAACAGATAATTAATCACAAATATATTTGCCACAAAAAAGGCTCCTATTTCTGTTTTACAGTTAAAACCCCCCTGAATTATAATTTTAATACATTAAATTCACAAAGATTGTAATCAATTACATTTCAGTGTAGTACAACCTGAAGCTTCTATTTAGTACTACAATAACACTGAATATTTGTTTAATTTAAATGATCAATTGCCATTGGAAATTATTTAGGCCTACCAATGAATGTTCTATGAAGCAAAGCATTTGCTCAATAGTAGAGCTAAGCTTTTCTGTTGTCAGAACAGTATTTTGTAAAATCACATGCAAATGCTCTTGTAACTGGCTCATATATATGAGCCATTTCAAATTTTTCTTTAACAAGAGCATCCTAGATCAATGCTATACATTAAGACATTATGAAGTACCTCTGCCTTTTTTTTGCATCTCTTGATTTGTCGCCCAAAGTCTTCAACCTATAAATCAAAACACAGAATCATCAGACATTTCCAAAACCAAAACCAGAGAATAAACTGTTTGAGCACATAACGTGTTAATTCCACTTTATTACAGTAATTTTCTTTCAGCTTATTTTACAAATAAATTCATATGATGGTCTCCACAAAACTAAGTGAAATTTCATTTATTTCCACCAACAGTGCTTCTAAATTATGAGACTCTCCAGCAGCATCACCACAGTGCCCTGCTAATGAGCATATCTGAGGCTTGTTTCACCCACACTCAATTTCAAACTGACCGGTACCTTGTTCTTAAAAAGCATAAAACCCCCTAAACCAACCAAACAACCCAAACCCCAACCAACAACAAACAATTCCCCTTCCCCCTCTCCACACCCCGCCAACTCTTTCCACTCCTTCCTCTTTTTCAGTCAACCTGTATATGATAAAGTTGACAAAGTAGAGTGAGAACCAAAACCTCTGGCTATTCTCTGATCACCAAGATGATGGCTGTCCACAATCTCTACTAGGCCCTTTGGAGTCACAGCTGTCCAGGACAGTAAGAGTTAGGAAGAAATATAGGACACAGACATGAGCAAGATAGAAATGAGTTTTGAGTACCAAAGATATCCTCCAGACATGACAGAGATATGTAATCCTGAGTGACCCAGGGACTGAGAAACAACCTAATATACAGATATTTGTGCTGCTTCAAGGGTGAGCCAAATCACTCCCCCACTGTTAACCACCACCAATTTTCCAGAAACTCAAAGAAACTTCAAAGTCTACAGCAAAATAGGCAGTTGACAATTTGAGAAAAGACATGTTAAGGCATGCCTCCACTCCCTGTTAGAGAGCTGCTTATAATAGCCAAGCCAAGTAGAAACAACCACAGCACACTGAAGGAAGAACATCTCTGTCCTCCTCCTCTGCCATATTCCCCAGTATGCACCCCAGCCTGGAACAGCAGCACTCCTCTGCATACAGGGATAGAAGGAAATGCTGGGTTACCACTATCAGTTCTCATACTAGAATATCTGCCAGGCAGTTGGAAGTAAAGGTTAAAGGATTTATCACTAGACTACAAAGTACTGACTTCCTTTCAGCAGCATTCCCTGTACAAAGTGTAAGGCAGTGTGAGCCACATCGCTCAAGCTGGCAGAAGCACAATTACTGCCTGAGCACAGACGAACGCAGCTCACTGTTCCATTTTGGTTGTTTTTCTTCCTCCTGCAAGACACTGCTAACAGCTAAATGGGTCAAAATTTAGATACCTTGCTCACGGGATACACAGAAGTAGACAGTAAACACAGCTGAGCAGGGGAAGAGGGCACAGAAATGGCTAATAACTTTAAACTTCAGTAACTCCATTTCTTTGTGCACAGAGATGGCTAGTAACTCTAAACTGCTCTCTTTAGACCACACATCCCAGATTTAATCTTTTTCCATCATACATAAACAATTCCTTTGGAAGCGGTACTATTTTGTTAGAAGCCCTGAAAAGTTTCCCCCTCGTGACGCTTCAAGAAATCCAACTGTTCCACTTTGAAAGCATTCAGGCGTAGTTAAGAAGTTGGCAACAACTTTACACCAGAAATACTTTCTAATACTTTCTTTGGGTTTTGACAATTTTAAGGTCAAGTCTTAACAGCTCAAAATGACTTCTGTTATCACTCCAGTGGGGTACAGAATGGGCTAACCTAGAACACCAAGGCATTGAGGTTGCATTGTCCAGGAAGGGAAAGGGGGCAAAATAGGACAAATTGTGTTCTGGCCTCTGTGGGGACACTAAAGAAAAAAAAAAGCCTCTGTGGCTCTGAGATACAGGTCCCCAACTGCAAAAGAGATTGCACAACATATGAAAATACCACTTAGACATGGGACTCTGGAATAAGGGCACATTAATGGAGCTGCCAAAACACAAAGATGGAAATGATGAAATCGGGGACTGTTTTAAAACACTGCAACACAAGGAAGAAGGCAAATTAGAGACTACATGGAAACATACCGACTCAACTGCTGCAATACATGGAAATACAGAATTAAATGATGATTGGATCCAGCATGTTATGACCTTTCTCTTGCCTGCTTTCATTACGTGAAAAACACCTTTTTCAAAGGAACCTTACACTGTACTACGGTATCAACCCCTCTGAGAAGGTAAAAATAACAGCAAAACAGAAAGACAGACAGCAATAAAGCAATGCCATGCCATTGTCTGTATTTTTAAGACATTTTAATATTCTATTAGCGTCAGGTAATATGAGAGATAACATGTAAGCAATTTATCTGGTTGATTTGAAGCCTATTCTATCAATTTCTCTTGACCATCATATACTGTTGTAAATATGTCACCATAAAGTATATAAGTTTCTGGAGTATACAGACATTCACCACTATATAAAAATATTTACCATAGGGGTATCTTAAGGCAGCCGTAACGTTGCAGAAGATCACACAGTTTTTAAAAGCAATTGATTACAACATGATATTCTCCTGTGACTCATTACGAGCCAGCAGTTCTGCAGCACAGACATGACCTTGATCTCACTGACTTCCAGTAACACTCATTTGGGCCACCTACTTGTACTAAAAATAACATCGACACAGGGCCTATCTAAATAAACCTTGCGAGGCAACGTAGGAGGAATATCTTTCTACTTTTTAACACAAGCGAGGGGCTGCTCCACCACTTATCCTGCGCTTCTTTCCCCCAAGTGACAGTAACTCATCCTCCAAGGAAAGACAAGCTTCCCCATACGCCCAGCGGCGCGCAGCGATGCTCTTTAAACAATTACGATGATCCATAAAACCTTGAAGGTCGGTCACTTCATGAAAAATTCAAGCGCGTTAATTGACTCCAGTCACATCTCCTCTCAGAACAGTAGGCTCTGTCTGTCTCTCTCTCCTTCCCCTGACCGCAGCTGCCTCCCGAGCACAGAGGCACCTCCTCCCCTCCTCTCCCCGCCGCAGCTGCAGGGCTCGCCAGCCCGCCATCAGCCGCTCAACTCAGGCGGGAACACGGCCCGGAATGAGACCCTGGAGCCGCGCTTCCAGCCCGTCCCCGCACCGCAGAGGGTACCCCGGGTGACAGACCAGCCCAGGCCGAGGGTCCTGCCTGCGCAATCTCCTCCTCTTCCTCCCTCCCTGGGCCAGTCCCCGCCTCCCCCGACCCCCGGTCACCTGCTTCCCCCTCCCCGCCCGCCTGCGGGACGCGGGTCCCTCTCCCGTTCCCCCCTCCAGCCCCGCGGTGCTGGGGCCGAGGGCGATACTCACCCGGCGGTGAGGTCCTGCTGGACGCTCAGCAGCCGCTCCCGCAGCGTCTCCAGCATCGTCCCGGCCTTCCCCGGCTGCGGAGGCCAGCGCCGGGAGGGAGGGGCGCGGGCGGGGCTCGGCTCCGAGCCCGCCTCCTCTCCAGGCCGCTCCCTCTCTTCCGCCTTTTCCGACTTCGCGTGTTTCCTCGCAAAGTTGTGAGCCCGGGTGGTTATTGCTGAGGGGAGCTGAGCCCCTTGTTCTGCGAGGGTAGAACGGGACGGTTTCAAGGTTTGACCTTGAGAAGCGTATGGATCCCCGAAGTTGCAGCTTTTTAGAGGTTTTTTTTTAAAGACCGCAGCAAAGTCCCTTGACAGGTTGGGACCTTGACCTGAGTGATTTTGACATCAGCTATAGCAGCGTAGGAGTGAACTCCCTAGAGCAACGAAGTTGATCCAGGGACTGGAGCATCTCTCTTACGAGGAACAGCTGAGGGAGCAGGGCCTGTTCAGCCTCGAGACAACTGAGAGGTGACCTCATCAATATCTATAAGTGTCTGAAGGGAGGGTGTCAAGGGGATGGAGCCAGGCTCTTTTCAGTGGTGCCAAGTGATAGGACAAGTGGCAATGGACAGAAACTGATGCACAGGATGTTCCATCTGAATATGAGGAAGAACTTCTTTACTGTACAGGTGACAGTGCACTGGAACCGATTGTCCAGAGAGGCAGTCCTCACTTGGGATATTCAAGAAACATCTGGATGCAATCCTGTGCCATGTGCTCTAGGATGTCCCTGTTCGAGCAGGGAGCTTGGACCAGACAACCCACTGTGGTACCTTCCAACCTGACCCATTCTGTGGTTCTGTGAACTCAGGGAACTGGGCTTTGCGATCAAATCTTAAAAGTATGGAAAGCGAAACCACTCCCTGTGGTTGCCGAGTTCTTGGGGTAAGGGATAGATGATAACCTTTCAAAATCCTTGCAAAGCAGGTAGTTGAATTATTTGTCTATGTGGCCCAGCACTGTTTTCATTGGAGGCTGCTGGACTTGTATAGATACTAATGATTCTTAATGAACTAAAAAAAAAAAAAAAGTCTATTCTTACAAATAGTAAATAATGCAGTGAAAAGTTTTAATTAAGCTTCTAGGTACAATCTGTTCCAATCATAACTGTCATAAGTCAGTCAGCAAATCTTTAGACAGTTCTAAGGGGAATCAGTCCTTTTCAGAACAATTGGCCGGTCTTTCTGGATGGCTGTATTTTACAGTCATGGTAACAGGAAGACAGTCTCACACCTTGTGTGTTTTCAGTTAGTATCTGAGGAATATGGACTAAGGATTTAGATGGATCTGGGAAATCTTAGACTTACATTTAATTGAGACTTCAATTTTTACAAAAAGCAACTGAGATTTTAAAGTCAAAGCATTTTATTTGTTAACCATTTCAATTTTGGTTGAAAGTTCAAAAAAAAAGTCAAGAGCACTGAAATAATTTGTTACAAAGAGAATGTATGCAGAGGGTGTCTCTTGGGTGTGTCATTTAATACTGCAGAACTATACTGAAGAGTGTTTGAGGTACATTCAATAAAGTGGAAAACGGATACCATAATCCCAGCACAGCTTGTGTGCTTTTAGAAGAGCATGGGAGCTATAGGTTGTTTCTGATGTGGCTTAAAAAACCAGTATTGCTCTGTGGCCTTAATGCAAGTTAAAAGCTAAATTCCTGCTAAAAGAATAATAATGATTGGGGTTGATTCTTCCAAAAATTGAAACTGATGTGGCTCCCTTTGTCTTGATGTCAGAAAGACAATTTTCATGGCAGACTGCATATGAAGTTCTGTAAAAGGATGTATGACATTTAGACCATATTTTTCTCTTGCTTATCTAACAACAATATCTGAAAAGACTTCCCACTTCCCTGGATAGTTAGCACTCCAAACTAGGAGGGGAAGGCCTTGAATCAAGTTTTTTCTGCTGTATTCACAGGAATACATTACAAATGCTGACAAAAGCTGTGCAATCTGGCCTTAGGTAATATATATGTTATGGGAATTAAAGTTTTCAGAAAATAAGGCAGCTGTTTTGTAACCTTAAATTTTTGCCCTTTCTTTGAGAAGTCATATGACTTTCTCCTGTGTTACATATTTTCAGTTTTCTTATGAATGGTTCTTGTCAGTGCTGGCTCTAATAATTCCTAGAGAATAAATACTCTTATAATCCATTTCGGCTTTTGCAGTTAAAAAGAAACTACTCAAAGACTGCTGTGTTTGAATTTCATTTCCATCTCTGTGTAGAATTTGGGAAAAGAAATGTGTTCAGATAGTATTAACAGTCACAGTAATTCTAGAAATACCAGAGTGGAAGAGACTTCTAAAAGCACATGCTATGCTTTAGGGCCATTATAAATACATGATGTAAAGTTTTGTTTAACTGGTTCTTAGCAACGTGAAATTAAGGAGATTCTCCAAGCTGGTTAAGTTATCAGTTTGCATGTTTAGCTTGATCTTCTCTTTTTTTTGTTTTTAGAGTAAGCCCAGTTTCTTTTTTTCCTTGTAGTCATTTTCCAAACTTCTTACTTCTTATACTTGTTGTTCTGATCTGGACATTCTCCAGTTTGTCCAGAAAATGCAGAGCCATAGCATTTCCATCACTGAAGCTGAATTACAGGGCTTCCTTTTGAGCCCTACACAAGTTAAGTGTTTATACTAATTAATTAATATTCATGTACGACAGCAATTAATTTAACAAACAGCACTGAGACAGGAATAGATCCTTCAGGTGTTAATTCAACAGAGTGACATGTAAAATTCTGCCAGCGGCTTCGGGTCAAGTTTTCTAGAGATAAAATTAATGCAGAATACCTTTTTAATATCAATGACCTGTTCTGCTCATTTAGTAATTAAGTAGTTCACAGCTGGTTATTTGATATTAATTATGACCTGAATTTGAGTCAGGACTTCCTAGTTTGTTCTTCTGCTTCTCTGATACTAGCACACACAAAATCTTGTGCAAGTGTTCTGTAAGTGGCTATACTGGTCTCTGCAACAAATGCACAAACATTCTGTGCTTTGCACATCCACAAAGAACAGTGATATCAGTCAGTAGCAATCAATATTTAAAGCAAAAAGCACAGAAATGTACTTGACTGCATAACCCTAGTGGTAAATGAAGATTTCTTTTCTAGATCAGAACCCCTTAAAAGCATGTTAGGCTAAATTTCTGAAACAGCTTAAGCTGACCCAAGTCATCCCTTGTCCTTACTTTGCATGATTCCACCTTTTCCTAGGCTTTAGTGACCTGCAATTAGATTGACTTTACATTAAGACTGCTCTGAGAGAGTAATACTGCAAAGAGGCCAGGCTCATCCCTTTTTAGCTCTTCAGTGAAAGACAGTTTTAAATACTTTCCCTCTGATGTGAAATGTAGTTTGCTTAGGTATCTGTCTGTTTTGTGTCTTGATTTTTGCTTAAGAGTGCAATACAACATTCTCAAACAGACTAGAAATAGTAACCAAAACTCTCAGCCCTTTCAAAATTTCTCAGGTTTATGGAAGCAATTTTGCCCTCTTCTCCTCAGGGCTCTTGCTGGTAGAAACTGTTTTGGCCTTCGTATAATTTTGGAATGCTTGAAGTAGAAGTGCTATATCAGGCCTCCTTTAACTTGGAAGGTAAACCAAAGTCCAGTGAAACAGATTTCTGTGCTCATTAAATGTTTTACTCTCATTCTTGCTCCAGTTTTCAGTTTCTTTCAAAATAATGCAAGTGGTGGAAAATTACACATAATTTCATTCAGTTAAAGCAGGCAGCCATTCAGTTAAAGCAGGCAGCAAAGCTCTCAGATTTTCTGTGTCAGAAACAAGAAACTGCTTCTTTTTCAGAAATATGTGTCAGGAATTTGAATCCAAGTTTCACTTCCTACATCATAAGCTCATGACAATGTTTTGCAATTGCAAATGGCTTCAGGTGTCAGGTGAGCACACTGCTGAAGCACCTCTAGATCAAAGCTCAAGCGGAGATCGGAGGCCCAGGTCTAAGCCTAGGAGTGGGTTCCTGGGCCCATAATTAGATGCTGTGCATGGAAGCCTGAAGTGAGGTTAGAGAGGGCCATTAGATGACCCCAGGGCTCTGACACAGAGCAGGGGAAGGTTACTGAAGTGTTGGTCAATGGTGTTCCCTAGAAACGATTTGTGTCAAAAGATCCAGTACTTGCTTCAGTATTGTAACATCATTGTCACACATGCAGTGGGATAGGTAGGGAGAACTGAAAATATAGGAGGGATGGCTTATGGTTAAATGATAAGCATGGTTTAACAATCTTTATATTTTGGGTGAAAATTTAATATTTTTATTTTTAATAATCTGTAGAATATGATTAAAGGTTGACTATTGGGGATTATCACTCTTCGATTCTATGTATATCTTGTTTATCTAGCTAGTTCTGTACTGGTATAAAGCCTAAATGTTGTTAGAAATAACCTGAGATAAACTTTAATTCTAGAAATCTGCTACTACCATTTTAATTGATAAAGGTGAAAATGAAAGTGTGCTTTAAGGTCTGATTCAGCATTTCTTGAAGGAAATGCATTGCATGCTGAAAATAAAGGTTACTATCAAAGAGTTATAAAAGTTCAGCAGGGTTAGGTGACGTAAGTGGAAACTAAATTTAAGCATTACATCATAAGTACTATTTGTCATAGTCTCACTTATTCTGAGGCCCCATTACCATTTCTAGCAGCTTTTAGGAGCTTCCTTTTTCAAATTAACCTTTATAGCTTTCTAATAAGAGTTAATTTGTGCTCTTACCTGTACTAACTCTTGGGAATTTAGTCTCTGCAGCTGACACAAAGCTTTTATGTTATATGAATATAGAATATCGTTTTATCTCAATAAAGAAAGTTGGATTTGGGTTGGGGTGTTTTTGTTTTGTTTTGTTTTGTTTTCCTATCAAAATAACAGCTAATAGGAAGGATACCTCAAAAATCAGGACATTATTTAGAACTTTATAATTTGGATTCTCTCAGTATCTTGAAACTTCTGTGCAATTAAATTCTTCTACATCAGCTTCCTAAAAGAAAGTGAGGATCATAACTCCAGCTACTGAGTGTAGTTCCGAGTGTGTCGATTTTGA